GTTTGTAGAGACAGACAAAAGAGACTGAGCACCCACAACAACACATCATTACATTCTCGACTCGCATGGATTCAAAGAGGGAAGGCTCGGGCGTAGGCCATGTCAATGGCAAGCTTGTAGCGGGCCATGAGCTTCTGTCGCGCGAGCTTGTGGCTGACGGTCAGACAGCCGTTGTCGGGGGTCCACCCCTCTGGCGCCTCCTCGACGATGACCACCCCCGGCACGTGGTGGTCGGGTTGGCCGTGGAGTCGCGCGGCCTCCTGTATCGCCTGCCGGAGGTCGTCGGCGCTCACAGGCCCCGCGTCCCTCTGCGGCACCACCACCGCTGCCAGGCATGGCTGCGTGCGCTCACCGTGAATAAAGATCTGCGCCCCGCACGACTGGTTAGCACAACTGTGTGCGTGCGTGCGTGCTGCAGGCAGACGCGGACCTGCTTGATGGCTTTGCTGGCGTGGGCGAGGTAGAAGGCTTCGAGGAGGCCCACGGGCACCCACACGCTTCGACCGTCGATGTAGAGATCGATAATGTTCTTCTTCCGGTCGATGATGTGCAGCTTGCCCTCGGCGTCGATCTCGCCAATGTCGCCAGTGAGGAAGAACCCATCCTACAGTCGGGGTCGGGCGTTCGTCAATCAGACCTGCGCAACAAGGCGGCCGGCCCGGTCGAAGAGCTGTGAGAGCAGTACCTCGAAGGAGGCGGCATTGTGGTCCGGCAGACGGTAATAGCCCGGTGTCATACTTGGTGTGCGCACGCATATCTCTGAAGCGGCATATACGGCGCATGAGGTGGTGGCTAAAAGGTAAAACAAAATCGTAGGCGGGGCGAACCTCCTCGCGGGTGCGGTTGGTCGGTCGTGTGGTAGCCCATCTCGGGCACGTCTCGCAATCGTACAGTCACAGTCGAAGGGATCACTCCGTCCGTCGCAACGCCGGGCGTCTGTGCGCAGGTAGGGGGGATGGTGTATGAGCTCAGCGCCCAATCCAACAAATGCGGTCGATTGTGGGGGAGGCCCTACCTCGGTGGTGCCATAGGCGTCCACCACGGGGCACTTGAGGCATTCGCGCAGGAACTCCATCACCTGTGGGCTGGTCGCCGAACCACCCGTGGCCGCCTGCATCAGGCGGGTCCCTGCTCGGCCGACACACCCATGTAGGTGGTGAGAGCACTGGTCACCACCAGGCAGAGGAGGAGAGTACCAAGGATCGTCGAGAATCGCTCAAGGACCCTCTGCTTGGCGGCAGCCTCGTCGCCCGACTCTTCAAGAAGAAGCTCGGCGGCAAGCGCCTGCCGGTAGTCCAAATAGATTCGGGTCCACACGTGCGGCATGGCCACGAACAGTACCGGGTTGAGTGCCCGCGCATCGTCGAGCACATTCTCCTCGCCGCGGGAGCAGATGCCCACCCGGCCGCCGTTGGCTAGCGTCTGCCAGCACATGCCCCGGTCCATCCCGTGAGCCAGCGCCGCGTAGGACAGCACCGCGTCGGGCACCAGGTAGCGCTGCATGCACGTCCCACCACCGGCCACCGCCACCCGCCACCACCGCATTCATGAGCCACAAACAATGTCGGCTCAGGAAAATGGAAGTGCGAGTGTGGGCCGACGCGCTTACCGGGCTGTTGACGTTGTCGGACCGCCAGCCTCCCTTGGTGGCGATGATGCCCTTGGGCACGCCCGTCGTGCCGCTGCTGTAGATGAGCGAGAAGAGCGCGGCCGGGTCCTCGCGCCCGCTGGGCGCCGGCGGTGGCTGCTGCTGTTCGCCGGCGGATTGCTCTTCGGCCCGCCTGGCTACTCGGTGCGCCTGTAGCTCGGCCCGCTTGGCCCGCCGAAGGAGCTTGGCGTCGTGCTTCCCCTTGCACTGCAGCCACGACAGTGACTCGACGCGGAGAGGGAGGGTCTCTGCGTGGTCCTGCTTCCACTGGTCGAGCCGCTGCTGATGGTGGTCTGCGCCACTCACGGCGCCGTAGTGGTGGTAGTTGTCGAGCATCACGAAAACGCCCTTGAGGTGCGGACACTGGGGAGCGATGTGGACGAACTTTTCGAAGTTGTCCCAGTCCGCCACAACGTAGTCTGCCTCCGAATTGTTCATCACGTACACCAACTGCCTCGTGTGCAATGATGGTGCGTGTGCGTGTGCGTATGAGTCTATGCATATGGTTGACAGTGGAATGAAGTGGAGTGGAGTGGTAATGCAAACCTCGTCGAGCGGCCAGGAGGTGTGCAGCCCAACGGTGATGAGGCCGTGCATGGCGCAGCCAAAGTCGACCATCAACCACTCCGGCCGGTTGCTGCTGCAGATGCTCACGAACGCGCCCGGTTTCGTGTCCCCCCGCGCGAGCTCTTCTTCTCGGCTCTGCCTCGCCAGTGCCATTGCTTGGCAGGTTCGGGCCAACTCCGCAAGGCCGCAGCCGATCTCGGTCGCCCGCTGGTAGACTTCGTCATACGTCAGCCATTCGTAGGGGCCATACCTAGCATTCCTCCAGATGATCAGAGATTACGTCGCTCCGCCGCGAGCTTGGGCATGCGCGTTACCTGGCTGTGGCTGAGTCCTCCGAAACTGGTTGGCGTCGTCGCACGCCGAGACAAGGCCGCGGGCCGTAGACGTTGAACACCATGTGGACGCTGTCGGCGAGGGTGGACGCTTCGATGATGGGATCCCTTGGTTGGGCGCACGTAAGGCGCTTCAGCCAAACCAAGCACGAAAGGAGAGTGTGTGCGATTATTCTGTGCAGGTATGTACCTGAGGAAGACATCGACGTTGTCCTCCTCCACGAAAAAGGGGAGATGTGCCAGATGCGGGTTGTGCTTCAGCAGGAGCTCTCGGGCTGCTTCGTCTTCTGCACACCGAAAGTGGTAAGGGGCCGGGTCCGAGACATACAGGGGTGTGCGGGCAGGTGCGTACCGGGTGGGACACTGCGCCACACCGACGCCCAGCAGTGGAAGCAGTCCACACATTGATCAGCTCGCGGAACTTCCAGTGAATGGAAGCGCAGCACTCCTTCGCCCTACGGAGAGTCGATGTTCATCTCATTTTCTCTTGGTGGCACGCACTCTCTTTCGCACAGGCTCAGCGTGTGCGTGCGTGCGTGCGTGCGGTGCGTGCTTGGTGTGGTGTGTGCGCGCGCGGTGTGTGTGCGTGTGTGTGCGTGTGTGCGTGTGTGTGTGTGTGTGTGTAATGCCTACCTTAGCTCCGTCTTGGATCTCCCAGCCACATAAGTAGCATTCGCTGCCCCACACATTGTTGCCATCGGCATCGATAATGCGTCCGCCCTTTCCACACAGCCAGCCACGCATGTGATGCAGCCAGCACGTCAACGTCAAGACCAAGGAGGAGGAGAAGAAGAGGAGGAGGATTAAGAATGAGGGCATCAATCACCTCGAGCGGCACGACGGGCTGATGATCGTCGGCATTGATGGCGGCGCACTGCTGGAGCTGCCACGGCACACGCATCCGGCGGCCCAGGCGCTCGCCGCTGGCCTCGCACTCCTGCGTCAGTAGATCGAGCGTGGCGTTGAACGCGTCGATCGACCGCTGTCGCGCCTCCGCGCCGGGTGGCGTCTCGCGCAGCCGCTCCAGCTCCTCGCGCTTGGCCGCGAGCGCCGTCCTCTGGGCCTGTGCCTCTTCGACGAACGCCACCAGCAGATCCTTGATTGTGCGCCCGAGTAGCGGGTGAGGGTCTTGGCTACGCTACACGGGCGGGCGTTGGGGGGGGGGGTGAGGGTCTTGGCGCTGCACGGTACCTGGGGCGGCGAAGGGGAAGTGGTGGCGGCCAGGCGGTCGACGATGGACTGGAGGGAGGTGGTGTGGTGCGCCTTGAGCTGGCGCAGCTCCTCTTCGAGCCGGCGGGCCACCTTGCCCCCCTCGCACCTCATCTCTTCATCCTTGAGGCGCACCTGACGCCCCGCCTCTTTCAATTGATCGACCAACATGAGGCCCGCCGCGGAAAGGCCCTCCAGCGCTTCCATGTAGGCGGGCCGCTGCATCAGCATCTGCATTTGTGCCATTATTCATTCAATCCGGTTGTTGTGATTATACCGGCAGTCCAGAACAAAAATAAAATAAAATAAAATAAAATGTATTATAATTGCGTAAACAGCCGGTGTGTCAGCGAAAGAATTGTTCACATATTTAAATATCACGAATGCGAGAAAGGGACGAAGAACTGGCGCCAGGCGACGGATTCCTACGTGGCTGGGACGGCAGCAAATTAGGCAGCACGGAAAGGTTGTACGACATTCACACACCTCTTTGCTGTTGTCTCTGCAGGGCCGTTTTGCACATCTTTTATCAACAACCTTGACAAGATGAAGTTCGTTCTGTTCGTGCTTGCCTTCTTCGCCGTCGCCGTGGCCTGCATTGCCGCCATGCCGTACCGCTTCTTCTTCCTCTTCCTCTTCTTTTGTTCTCTCGAGAGTTAACATCCCCCCCCCCCAACCAACCCATGATTTAATTACAATCAGTGAGAGCGCTTGCACCGTTGAACTCGGCCTTCAGTGCGCTGGTGCGATTGCCAAGTGCTTCGATCAGTGCAAAGCCTTCGTCCAGAACCCCTCGGCCTGCTTCGACTGCCTGGGCTCCAACGTGGGCACCTGCTGCCCCTGCCTCCAGGCCGCCTTCCCCGGCCTTCAGTGCTAAGCGACTTCAGCATTGCTGAACGGAATGGAAAGGTAGGAATGGAATCTGCTTTGTTTATAATCTGAAAAAGATTTCCATCTCCATTTCTCTTTCGATCTTTCTTTCTACTGCATCGGCTTCAAGATGCTGCAGTTCGCGGTGGGGCTGGTCTTGGTGGGATTGGTGCTTGCCTATGGGCTGAGGTGGTTGTGGTGGCCTTCTACGGCGCGTAGGATCAGCCCCAAGGGCAAGGCATTCGTGGTGACTGGCGCCGCATCTGGCTTCGGCAAAGAAGGTTCCAAATCGTGCATTGAATTGATGAGATCCAAAGATGGGACCTCTTCTTCGGCGCTGATATCTCACCCTCTTGGTCGGCGTAGTGACCAAGATGCTTGCCGAGCAGGGCGGCTACGTGTTCGCCGTCGATCTCAACGAAGAGCTTCTCTTGGCCGAGTGGAAAGACAACCCCAAAGTCCACACTCGCAGGTAACACCAGCACGTCGCCCGCAGCCACTGCCTCACAACTGTACTTTCAGAGCTGATTGCTGTCACATGTACACCTCCACGGCGCTGTGCAGGGTGGACGTGACGGACACCAAGTCGATCGAAGCGCTCGTGCAGGAGGTGAGAGACAGCGGCAAGGGCATCTTCGGGTACGCGCTTTCGCCAGGCCCAGGCCAGGCCAGGCCATGACCCACGCTTTTGGCTCACCCGGGTTTGGGCATCACGTGAGGCAGTCTGTTCAACAACGCGGGCATCGGCCACCCGAGCATCTCGATCGTCGATTGCCCCGAGGAGGTAACTCCTCGGCCGCCTCTCTCGCCTGGACACGCCCCACTTACGGATGTGCGCCTGTGCACGTGCAGCTGATGGTCCGAACCATGAACATCAACTGCTTCGGTATCTACCGTATGACAAAGGCCTTCTTCCCCCTTCTCAAAGAGGAGAACGAGAAGCTCAAGGCAGCGGGCGAGGGCACCTGCTCCATCGTCAACATGACCTCCATGGCCGGTACGTCGCGCCTTTAGAGCTCTCCTGACCGTTGTCTCTGGTCTTTTCGGCCCACGCACGCACGCATTCACCGCCGCTTGGTCTCTGTCCTGTGTTGCTGCAGGACTCATTGCCCTGCCGCTGGTGGGTGCCTACTGCATCTCAAAGCACGCGGCGGAGGCCCTGAATGCTGTGCTTCGCAGGGAGCTGAGCCCCTTTGGCATCCGGGTGTCTGCCATCGAGGTACTACTCTTGGCCCTTTCTACTCCCCTTCCAATCATCATCATCACCATCATCCATGCCTGCTGACCCAACCGTTTTCCTTCGGCTGCGCAGCCAACCTTTTCCAACACGCCCATCATGGTGGCCGCAAGACAGCGATTGGAGTACTCAGAGGTATGCGATAGGTGATGGGCGGGCAGAGGAGCAGGGGGGAGCGCGAACCGACGCTTATCATCTTTCTGCCTTTGCCAACTCGAAGAAATGCTGGGAGGAGCTGGGCGAGGCTCAGGCGACCATTTTGGACAACACAACCCTGCTCGACCCCGTCAGCATCGCCACCATGTACGTTGCGCGCCTGCTCACTCCTCCTAAAAGAGTGCACACAACTGCTAACAACGTGTGGTGGTCAGGGTTGTGAACGCGCTCCTGAGCGATCCTGCTCCCGCCCAGACCATCATCGCGTCTGCCTGGGAGACCTTCATTGTACTCTACCACCCTCTCATCTCTCTCTCTCTCTCACTCTCACTCTCACTCTCTTCTCATCTCTCTGGTGTTGCCTTCTTGTTGCTGGCCTGGCTGACTGACATTGTTTCTTCTCTCAAGGGCAAGGTCCTGATCCACGTGTTGCCGCACAAGGCTCTGGACTCGGCCCTCACGGAGGGTTTCCTCGACAGGGCCAAGAAGCTGCGGGAGAAAAAGGAGAGACACCACCGAACAGTGACCACCGGTGGCGTTGTGGAGAACGTGGAGAAGAAGGACAACTAACCATTATGTATTTTTTTTTGCTATTATTGTGGAATCGGTGGTCAGACGTGATTGGTGGACTTGGTCCGCCAATGACAGGACAGCACGAACTATTTCGCAGAACCACTACTTTTTGGATTTCAAATCAATTTAGATTCAAACAAGAGAGATCGAGATTGCTTGCGTGCTGGGCTATGCAATCGCCAGCTTCGTCTAGCCCACCCTCTCCCTCTTCTCCTTGCCAATCCTCAGCCCAAGACGAAGTAGCAGCCTTCCAAAGCCTCAGCATCTGCAAATCATCCGACTCGACCGCAACTTCATCTTCGTTGCAAGGATCTCCCCAGAATCTGCATTACTCTCAAACAACACAACGCAGCAATCAACACCAACACGATCGTGCAGATGATGATTTCGACGAGGCGGCACCGCCAACTCACCCCCAGGCCGCAACCTACGTAGGGCAACTCAACGAGCACAACAAGTTTCATGGGACGGGCAGCATCGCGTGGCCCGATGGCCGCAAGTACGCTGGCCAGTGGCGCGACAACGTCATCGAAGGCACCGGCGTCATGCAATGGGAGGACGGGTCCCTCTACAAGGGCGACTTCAAGAACGGACTCGTACGCGTCGAGTCGTGTGTGTCGTGTGTGCCGTGTGTGTCGTGTGCGCTCATTAACGTCGTGAGGGTCTTTACAAACAGCGAGAGGGCAAGGGGGTGCACACGTTCGCCGATGGCGGGGTGTACTCGGGCCTGTTCAAGGAGGGCAAGCGACACGGCTGGGGTCGACGCGTGTACGCCGATGGCCGCATCTACGAGGGCGACTACCGCGAGGAGCTGCAGGAAGGCACAGGCACCATGAAGTGGCCCGACGGAAGCGAGTACAAGGTACCTTGCACGCACGCACGCACGCACGCACGCAACGCACACGCACACGCACACGCACACGCACGACTCACTACTTAAGTGAATTTGGTTCTCTTCTACTTCGAACGACAGGGCGGCTTCAAGCAGGGGAGGAAGCACGGGCACGGTCGCATGTTCTGGGCTCACAATGGTGAGACCTACGAGGGGGACTGGTATCACGACTCCAGGTACCGAGTGGCGCTGCACTCTTCAACTCTTTCTCGCTCTCTCTCTCTCTCTCTGATCAGTTCTTCCCCTTCTCCCTTCTCGAGAGCAGGCATGGTCAGGGTGTGCGCACGTACACGGACGGTCGGTTGTACAGGGGGTCCTACTACAAAAACGCTCAGCACGGTCTGGTACGAGGTTTTCGTTGACGTGCCGTTGACCATTGAAAGGGCTGTCAAGTCAAGGACGAGATCTGATGCTCTCTCTCTCTCTCTCACACACACACACACTCGCACGCACGCACACACTCTCTCGTTCGTGTTTTTGTGGCACAGGGCGAGCTAAGGAACTCCAACGGGTCGACATTCATGGGGAAGTGGTACCACGGCAAGAAGCATGGCGAGGGCTTGGCCATCGACAAGCACGGGACAGCGAGTGTCGAGGTGTGTTCCCCTCACCTCTCCACTCACACACTTGCGCGCAGCGTTGGCTAACTGACGGTGGTTGTTCTTTCCTGTGGTGTGTGTGTGTGTGCAGGTGTGGAACAACGGAGCGTTAGTGCTGGCGCGGGCGCTGGAAGGGATCAACGTGAGGAGTGTCTTGCCCTCGGCCACCGCCCCGCACGTAGGTACGAGGGAGGGCTTGTCGTCGCCTTCTCACTCGCCGACCCAGAACGCTCCTCTCGCCGGCGACACCACCGAGGACGACGACGACGACGACGACGAGGAGGGCGAGGCCATCTAAAGACCTGCAGTGAAGACCAGCCTGTTCTCCTCAGCGCACGAGAAAGAGAGAGCGTGTGCGTGTAGAGTATTACTTGTAAATGATGATGGTGGTTGTTTATTGTTGTTACGAGCCAAACGAGTAGGTCTCTACCCACGGGCAGGTCGCTCTGGACTTAGTAGGCGACAGCCCTCCTGGCCCGTCTCTTCTCCCTGAAGTGCTTGAGGGTGAGCACGCCGGCGATCGCGATGAAGACCTTCTTCAACATGTTGTCGTTCCTGCTCGCGCCCAGTCAAACCGTCAGGTAGGTGCAAAAGGTAGAAAGCAAAGCTTGCAAGTATGCACCTGTGGTTGGGGTTGTGGTGGTGGTTGCTGTGCGTCTGGAGTTGTTTTGCTTCACTGGTTCAATGTAGCTTATTAAATACCCAACCACCGCCACGAACAGCCGCAGTTCTCGCTTGCTTTGGTGTTGCTTTTCACTTGGCTGTTCACCCCACCTGGGAGACCCAAGATTCACTGTTTTCCCTCCCTTCTCCCTGACTCCCAACTTTTGTTTTTCGACACCTTCAGCGACGTCCTGGACCAGTGGTCCAAGATCGAGTGCTGCTCGCAGCTTGTACGTAACTCCGCGTCGAAGTGTGTTTCCATCGAATTTTGTATTTATTCGTCACACGACGGGGTGGTGGAGGTCGATGGCCCGGAGGGAGCCGGAGGCAGGGTGGTGTAGCACAGCTGGCACACAGGGACCGGGGTGTCGTACTCCAAGTCCGGCACCGTCGTCTTCTCGCAGCACTTGTAGCAAAATATCTGCCCACACACCCGGCAGTGGTGCTGATGACAGCCCAAAGGCGAGCGTCAGCGAGAGCACTCAAGAGACAATCGCCGGTCCCGGCGGGGCTGTGCTGTGGAGGGGGGGGTACCCTTCGCACGACGAGGGAAAAAGTTGCTTCGCAGAGGCCACAATTCGTGTGCTCCGAATCTCGAGCCTGGCGACCATACGCACACGCGTAAGCAGTGGTGCGTGTGCAGTGGTGCGTGTGCGGTGGCGCGTGTGCGAGTGCGTGTGCGGTGGCGCGTGTGACGTACCCATATCGGTCGCTGAAGCTTGGCCTTGGTAGGCGCATCCACCGCACCGGCCTCACTGCCGCCACTGCCCGCGCTCAACCGCTTGCCGCCGCTGTTGCGCGTGGACACTTCGGCGGCGACCGCTGCCGCCGGCGCCTTCCGCACAACCGCGCTCTTCTTGTTGGCCGCCGAACCGAGGGCGCCGATCGTCACACTGCGCCCGCTGGCAGTCAGCGCGGGGTCGCGTTCAAAATCGAGCTGCCTGCGCGGCGGCAGCTCGGTGCGCTCGCGCGCGCCGCCCACCGACGCTGACGCTGGCGCGCCTCGCAGGCCAGCCTGTCGCTGCTGCTGACGCTGCTGCTCGCGCTCGATGCTGCGCACGCGTCGCAGCTCCGAGTTGCGGGCCTGGACCGCCGCCATGTCGGAGGGCGAGGGGAGCGAGGGCGAGTGGAGCTTGAGCGACGAGTAGTAGCTGTTGCGGAAGTTCTTGTGCGGGCCGAGCGCCGGCTTCACCACCACCTCCGCCACGCCGCCGCCGCCGCCCCTCCTGATCGGCGTACTTGGCGTACTCTTACTAAGCCCTCCACCTTTGCCATTGCTCGCACTACCCGATAACACGACACACACACGGCACACCGCACGACACACACGACACGACACACACGACACACGACGGCAAAGAGATTGTGAGGCGCCAGATTGGGTGAATCAGGAGGTGAGGCGTGGGCACCTCTCGCTGCTGGACGAGGCGGTGGCCAAGCTGGCCTCGAGGTTCTGCGACAGGAGGCTGCCGGTGCGGCCCCGCGAGAAGTTCTTCGCGGGGCTCTCCTTCTCGATCGCGAACGGCTCCGCGGGCGGCTGCTGCGGCTTGGCCGCTTGGTGGGCCTGGGCCAGGTGCATCGCCCCGCCCGCCCGCAGCTCGCGCTCGGCCCGCTTCTGCTGGAGGTGGAAGAGCAGCATCTCCTTCTTGGGCGACGAGCTGAGCTTCGACTTGAGGTAGTCCAGCTTTCCGGGCGTGACCGACAGCGCCGGAGCCGCAGCGCCGAGCAGCTGGCGCCGCGGGTGGTGGTGGCCGTCGTTGTCGTCGCCATCGTCGGCCGCCGACGGGTGCATGCTGGCCCAGACGCCCTCGCGCTTGAACGACGACGAGGCCAGGAAGGGCAGGCCGGGCGACGACGAGAGGAGCCTGTCGGTGGACTTGCCGGCGGCGGCGAGCTTGCGCAGGCGCTGCTCCTGCGTGTGTTCGAACTCGACCCCGACCAGCGCCTCGTCTAGCTCGTCGCAGAAGCGGAGCACCTCATCGAGATGCTGCGCCCGCTCGTGGTAGCTCTTGCTCATCATTGTCGTCGCTTCGGGCGCCGCCACGTCGAGCGTCGTACGCCGCCCTGTCATCGCCATCGCCGCCGACGTCGGGTTCTTCTTGTTCGGCCGGTCGCTGCCGTTGCGACCGTCGTCGTCGTCGAGCTCCTCGCAGAAATTGAGGACCTCCTCGAGGCTGTCGAGCTCGGTCAGATTCAAGTCCCGCAGGAGCGAGTCGATGACCACCGGCTCCTCGGCCCCGCCGCCGCTCTTGGCCGCGTCGGGGTCGCTGCTGCCGAGAAGCTGCTGCGGAGCAGGCGGGAAGGCGTGCTCGGTTGTGTTGGGGCTGGGCACCTCCTGGAGGAGCTTGAGCCGTCGCTCTTCCAGCTCGCGCAGCATCTTCTCCACCTGGAGCAGGGCCGACGCCGTAGAGCCGCCGCTCCGGTCGAGCGCCGTCGCCTCCTCTTCCGCGCCGCTGCCGCTGCCGCTGCTCTCTGTCCCCAGGACCCGGGCCTCGGCCACCCCGGTGACTCGGATCTCGATCGACCCTTCCCGGTCCTTCGTCTTGTCGCTGTTATCGCTTTCGCTTTCGCTTTCGTCGCCTTCGTTCTTGGTTTTGCCGACGTCTCGGTGGTTGCCTACGCTCTCGGCCAGCTGGGCCGCTGCGGCGGTCTTCTCCTCCCCCTTTCGCTCTTCGTCTTCAGCCTTTTGTTCCGTCGCTTTCGCTTTTTCGGCTGCCTTCTCGTCCGCCTGCGCTTGCGCCTGCTCTCGCTGCCTCTGCCTCCGCTCGCTGCCTCTGGCCTTCTTTCGCGCCATCTCGCGCTGCTTCCTTCGCCAGGCCAGCTCCTCCTCCAGCCGCTTGGCCTCCTCCAACACGGTCCTCTCCTCGTCCTCGAGTCGCTGTCGTTCCGCCTCCTCCTTCGTCCGCCTCTCCTTCTCCTCTCGCTTTTCCGCCTCTTCCTGTCGTCGCTTTCGTTCTTCTTCCTCCTCCGCTTCTTTCTTTTTCTTCGCTTCGTTCTCTTCCCGCATCGCTTTCTCTTTAGCTCCGACGCGGCCCGCCGCCTCTGCGTTTCTCTCGATCTCCTTCTCTGGCGCCGTGGTCGGTGTTGGGGCGATGGCGACCGGCGGCGGCGTGGTCGACGCCGGGGTCAGCGAGCCCCTTCGCGTGGTGGTCGCCGTACTGCCACTGCTGCCGGTTCGCTCGGCCTCGCTGTTCTCCCACATGTCCAGACGCGGGTCGGTCCCGTTGCCGTTATCGCGCGTGAGACTGCCGGTCCGCTTTCGCACCTGCTCACGTCGCCTTCGTTCATCGCCCTCCACCGACAGCAGGCCAAATTTGAATTCACCTGATGGAAGAAGAAGAAGAAGATTAGTCAAGGCCAACGCGACGACCGCACCAATTATATCTAAACAGGCTGGCGATCGGGCGGACGTACTTTCTCTTCCGCTGATGACGCGAATGTGCAGGTCCTCAATCTCCCTCCTGTGCGCGTTCCAGTAGTCTTCCTGCAGAAGAAATGCGAAGCGTGAGGTGAAGTGCTGCCCAAGTTAGTACCAGCTAGCTGCGACAATATATATTTATATTTTTATTACAAATATTTATAAATATATTTATAAATAGTAATATTAATATTACTATTTAATAAATGTGATTAAGAGTAAACGAACCCTGTCAATCTCGGCAAAGTGCATGGTGAGCGAAAATTGGAGGGGCAGGACGAGCTCGAGCTGTTCCATCATCTCCGTAACCAGATGCTCGTTCCTGAAGAAGGCGCCCTGCGTGTAGAACGCCCGAAGGAGACCCGTGTTCCACACCAACGCCTGACAACGAAATGTGCGAACACGAATATTAGCGCTCCATTTGCCCACTCGACGTTGTAGTGTGTGTGTTATATGTGTGTTGTGTGTGTGTGTGTGTGTGTGTGTTGTACCTGCAGATACTCGACGACGGCGTGTTGATTCAGAGACAGCCTCAGAAAAGCCCGCCCTCGGCCAATGCTCGAGCGTGTCCAGTTCCTCAGCTTGTCCAGCATGCCCGCCGCTTGGTTCCCCTGTAGATAGGCGCATCGCAATGAAGACAACACGAGAAAAGAAGACCGATATGTTGATCGAATCGACGAAAAGGCTTTGAACGCAGAGAGCGCTGAGCAAGAAGGGCGTACGGGCAATGAATCCTGCAGTCGCTCAATGAACTCCCAAATGTTGCCTCGCGGCCCTGTACGGGAGTTGGAGAGAGATGAGATGGCGTGAGTGTCTTGGCTGCCAAGCGAGAAGGAATAGCAGCAGATGAAGAAGGAGAAGAAGCGGAAGCGGCTGCCCACCTGTCTTGAGCTCGTGGAGGAATATCTTCTCCAAGACGAAACACAGGCCGTGCACTTCCGGCGTGTCGTCCGTGATCGCGCCGCGGTCCTTGTATTTGCCCAAGTCCGCCACCACCTGCTTCAGCAGCGCCGCCAGATACGACCCGTCTACACGCACGCACGCGCACCGCCGCACACGCACACGCGGCAGTATGCAACACGTCAGCTCAGCACATAGGTATGCCTTGGCCGGCGTGCACAAGAAGATGACGCTACAACAACGCATGTGGTGTGCAGGGGGGCGGCTGTACCCGAGAAGTCCAGCGAGGTTGGGACGACTGAAGGTGCTCGGTGCGGCAGCATCTCTCTGGTGGGTGGGATTTGACGAGATGTGAGATTAATTCGATTATAAAAACGTGAGACCCAACCAACCCTTTTGGTTTCTTCTTTGGAGAAGACGCCACGAAGCTGCTGTGCAACATGATGTTCGAACAAAGCTAATAGATAAAGAACGCAATCAATCATTGATCAATTAATCCTAGAAAAGCCGTCAACAACGGATCTGAGCTGGGCGAGTACGGGGATGTGTATGCGAATCGAATCGGAGATCAGAGAAGATGGAAGCGAGCAATCGCGCGATGGGACGCGGCAGTCAAGTCACGCCAGATGGCAGACGATGTGCAGGTCAGTAAAACTGGCGTAAACTTCGCACGACAAATTCAAATAAAGATACTTAATAAAATAAATAAATAAATAAATATCTATTTTTTCAGTGCAGAGATGGAGCAAAGGCTGCGCGAGGCGTGGCACCACCTGCAGCAGAGGCTCGACCTCGCTGTGGACAAGAAAGGAGGTGCACGATCTCTTCTTGTTCATCTTCCTTGTTGGGGTTCGTTTGCGTGTAGCGAACTCAACGGCCCGAGGTGGTGTGGGAGGTGGTCGAGCAGGTTGAGGAGAGGTGGTGGCAGGTGCTGGTCCAGCACTACGGGTTCGGCGAGACCGGACCCGGAGCGAGCCGGCCCTACCATTGCTTCACACACGTCAACGCCCTCTTGGACTTGTGCTTGGCATACGAGTCGGCGCTGAAACGACGCAACCTGGTCGAGCTGGCCATCTTCTTCCACGAGTACGTACGCCAACCTTGTTCTTCTTCGTCTCGCGCCTGGTGCTTGCGTGCGCGTTGTTGACACAGCTGCGATACAAATGTAGTGTCGTCTACGACGCCAAGGCCAAAGACAACGAAGAACAGAGCGCTCTCATGTTCGAGCAGTACGCCGACGAGGTCGGCTTGGTACGACTGCACGTCACCTGTGCTAGTGCCCCTCAAGCCTCTTGTTCGACGCGACACGCACTACACACACGACACACTCGACACACACGACACACACGACACACTCGACACACACACAACAGAGCGCCGAAGCGAAGACGACGGTGGCCAAGTGGATCATCGATACCAAGACGCACACGACGGCCGACATTCACGGGGATGAAGACGAGGCCTACTTTCTCGACTTTGACCTGGCCGTTCTCGGGGAGGACGAGGACCAGTACGATACCTACGCGCGCCACATCCGAACCGAATACGCACACTACCCCGACGAGGCCTACCGCTCGGGCAGGCACGTGTTCACTCCTTTCTTGCTTGCTTTGCTCATCCGCTACGTCGTCGTTGTTGGCTTACTCTTCTTGTTCGTCCTTAGGGCGCAGGTGCTGGAGAGCTTCCTGCTGGTGCCCTCCCTCTTCCGGACGCAGGCCTTCAAGGAGGCGCGCGAAGCCAAAGCCCGCAGCAACATCCGCCGCGAGATTGACCGCCTTCGTGGCGGCGGTTGACCTTCCACGACACACGCAACAACCAACGATGGTAATAAATACTTGGCGTGTATTGGCTTTGCGAAGACTCTGGAGCCACTAGTGGTCGCACTTGCCCTCGGAGGTGAGGCGTTGCTTCTTCTTGACGGGCACCAGCATCTTGACCTGGGAGAAATGCTCTATTTCTATCAGCGCCGGTCCCTGCAGCCATGGCTCGCCGTCGAGCTGCATCGGCAGGATGGCCTTCGTCTGCAGCCTCACCTTCTGCCCCTGCCCCAGCGATATCGACTTGGACACGCCTGCATGCACGAATGAACGACACGATGGTGAGCGTGTGTGTGTGTGTGCCGGTGGTTGCAAGCGTACCGGCTTTGATCTGGATGAGGTGGATGGAGCCCTTGTGAGCGACGACCTCGATGATCTTGTCGTCGACCTTCTGCGGCTTCATGTTCTCAAACGGCTTCGCGCTGCCCCACAGGTCCGTACCGTCTGCGCATTGATTGATTTACGTTTAGAGATGATGATGATCATGGTGTGTGCGACGGATTGAACGACGTACCAGCGTAGGCGGGAATGTTGGAGAAGACGATGGACTCGATCGAGGACGGCAGCTCGTCACCGTGGATGACGTTGTCATCGATCGCGATGAACTCGATGCCCTGCGAGAGGTTCTTGCAGCCGCCTTCGAGGATGGAGTTGATACCCTGTGTAAAATACTTGAATTTGTTCATGCCTGGGAAAAGGGAAGAAAAGAGAGCGGGCGGTTAGCCTCAGCACGCGTGCGCACGACACGACACGCACACGACACACTGCGCACGCACGCACGCACACGCACGCACGCACAAGACAGTACCTCGTGAGGTGAAGGCGTCGGGGTTGGCTTCGCGGGCGAGATGGAAGGCCATGCTGATCTTGGCATCGACACCGAGCGAGAAGGAGTGATGGAACGACTTGAGCGACAGCGTTGCACTTTCTTCGTCCTCCTTGTTCGTTCCGTTCTGTTCGTTATTGTCGTTATTGCTGTCGTTGTCGTTGTCGTTGTCAGTATCGGTGTCGGTGTCGGTGTGCTGGCCAGCTGGCGTCGTTGCCAGTTCGTCGGGATCGACGCGCGGGCTGTCATCTCGCCCAGGCTCACCGTCGCCATCGCTGTCGTCGTCGTCGCCGTTCTCAATGCGCCGTCGCTTGTCGTCCACCGTGGCCCAGTCGACATCCAGCACCGTCGAGTTCTCCTCGCTGTGTGCCTTCGGCGCCGAGCGCATCTTCTGGCCAGAGGCATCACTACCGACACCATCACCACCGACGCTGTCCGTATGCGCGTGGTGGTCGGTGCCGCCGTTGCCGGGGGTCGCGACTTGGTCATACTGCAGCTCGCGGGCGTGCAGGTGGACTTCGTCGACGGCGTTCTCGTCGCTCTCCTCGAACTGCAGCTGTTCGGCATCGGACTGCTGCTGCGCGGCGGCCCGCTTGGCCTCGTTGCGGGCGACGACCGAGGGCGAAGGCGGCGAGGTGGGTAGTACGGCCGAGGTGACCGACGGCAGCGGCGGGACCATGGCGGGCGCCGCGGCCTCGCCCCGCGCGCCGCCGGCGTTCGAGTGCGAGCCCACCGCCGCCATCGTCGAGAAGCTGCGCGGCAGCTGCGGCAGCGGCTTGCGCGGGGAGCCACGACGCGGCGACGTGCCGGTGGCCTTGGTCGGCGACGCCGCGAGGCTGTCTCTGTGGCCACCACCATCGGCGGCCTGCTCCTGCTCGTCCTCCTCCTTCGAGTCGGGGCCACCAAAGTCGAGCTTGCGCACGGGCTTGGGCGAGTGCGGGCGGCGCTGGGGCGGCGGCGATGTCGGCGGCGACGAGGCCGTTGACGATGACGACAGCGATGCCGCCGAATCGCGCAGCTGGTCATGGTACGTCGACATTTTAGGCGGCGCTGAGCGGAGAAGTGCGCCATGGTCGACAGTCGACGACGCCGACGCCATCGGAGTGGCGGCGCCCGAGACCGAGTGGGCGGCGTGGAGCGCCGGCGCCGTGTGCTTCTTCTTGAAGGAGATGATCTTGGAGCCCTTGAGGATGGCGGTCTCCATGATCCGCACCTTCCATCGGTCGAGCTTGATGGGCACCGCCGCGTTCATGCGCTCGATGATCTTGTACAGATCGCCGCCGGTGTAGCCCGTGCCCCAGCCCAGGAATCCGCAGAGGTCGTTGCCCGTGCCCAGCGGCAGCAGCCCCAGCTGGGGCATCGACTCCTCGGTGGGGAACTGGATCTTGGCCAGCGCCGTGCACACCCAGTTGACTATATAGAGTGGAGGCAGCAGACGAGGCGGTGGCTGACGTCAGCAGCGCGTTCATCTTTAACGTGAACCGACCACTGGCGAAAAAGGCGAGGCAGGCGTACCAGTGCCGTCGCCTCCGCAGATGAGGATTCGGAAGCCGTTGGCCTTTTCGATGAGCGGCATGAATATGCTCAGACCCACCGCCGGACCGCCTGTCGGCACATTCATTCACAAGCCGGGTGATGAGAGGTCGCGTTGTGTGGCGCGCTGCCCAGCAGAGGAACATATATATATATATAAATAATGAAAATCTCAACATACCTTGCCGAATGTCGATGATCTGGTTGGGGTTGAGCAGGGAGGAGAGACGCTGGATGACGCCGGGACCCTGCTGACCGCCGGACATGCGATTGATGAACACCAGGAGCGGCTTGCAATCCGTCCCGCTCAAATACGCAGGCTCCAACTGTGCGTTCAAAGTCAGTCGGTTAGTTACAAATTACAATTTTAGTTCCATTTCGGTGGAAAATTAATAATAATAATAATAAAATAAAAAGGAAACTAACCTGCCAAGCGGGCTCGGGCTCTTCCCTGCCCGTGCGGTAGATGGCGTAGGGCGGCAGCTTGAGGCTCCGCAGTTCGCCAAAGTCGCAGACCACGCCCACGTTCTGGTCGCGGCACTCGTTGTGGGCCACGCCCAGGCACCAATAGCACCGACTGCCCACCATGTCCCTCCCCGACACCTACAGTCACGCCGCGCGCGCGCGTGAGAATGAATTACCGCGGCGAGAGCGAGAACGGGCAGCAGTGAACGCAGTGTGAGCGTAAGCCAGTACCTCTTTGGTGCAAAAAATGCACGGACTGGAGGAGTGGTTGCCCTCGATCCACGCATGGCCCATCCGCCGCACCTCCTGTGCCCGTGAGAAGAGAGGGTAAAGCGGGATGAGACAGGGAGAAGCGAAGTGGTGTTGCGTGAGCGTCAGGGGGGCGACGCACCTCGGGAGAGGCCGACGGGAGCGGATAGACGGAGAAGGTGGTCGGGCAGTTTCGCTCGGCGCCGGTCTCACACTCGTGATGGATCACGTATCGGCACACCGTGCACATCTTGCCTTGCCTCTGTTGGTTGTCGTCATCATCATGGAGAGGTGGAGATGTGAGTCGAAAAATAGACCGGTGCGAAAGAAGGAGAGAAAAGGGCTTTGAGATGAGGGGAATCTAGGGCATCATGGCAGGTAAGTTGGAACAATACTAGGTTCACCCCCTTGGCTGATGCCCACCACCACCGATCACACACACACAGAGAGAGAGAGAGAAGGAGGGGAGTAGACAATACCTGCTTGCCCTTGCCCTTGAGCTTGCGTTTGCACACATTGCACCAGACGGACGAGGAGAAACAGCGGTCGTGCATTTCGTGCTTGCCCATGTCTTCGTCCCTCTTCTTCCTCAGGAAATCCTGCGATTATTCAATAACGCAATTATTAATTATTTTATTTATAATAAATTTAAAATAAAATAAAAGAAAGGATGAAAGTAGTGCGTACCCAGTCCTCGGCACGGTCATCGTCTTCAACGCGGGGAGAGAAGATGTTGGGGTCGTCATCGTAGTCATCGTCGTCGTCGTTGGTATCGTCCCCCTCGTCGTCCAGCCAGCGTCGCCCCTGTGGATTGTGATGGCACGAGGGCGAAGATGGCAGGCTCGAGCCGATGGGCGGCATCGACTTCTTGCGCTGCGGCTGCGGCGAGCGCGAGAGGCCCAGCAGCCGTCGTGCAGTCGATGGCGAGCCGCGTAGCGAGGGAGACGGTGCAGGGGTCGGGGCGACGGACGATTTGTTGAGAAGGCCCAGCAGTGCGGGCGATGACGTGGTCGAGGCGGTCGATGCTCTGTAGCGCCCCTTCTTGGCTGATGATTTGGAGGAAGAAGATGAAGATGAAGAGGAGGTGGAGGAATCGGATGATCCCAGGCCTTGGTCTGCCAGCGAAGTGGACGAAGAATGAGAGGAGAGCGGGGAAGGCTGAGCGACCAGATCCGAGTAGGAGGTGTCGTCCGCAAGTTTGGCAGCGGACGACGAAGGGGGCATCGTCTTGTTGCGCGTTCTTCGTGCCCGCGTTTTGGGGGAGTCCATTGGGCTGTGATCCTTCCCTTTTTTCTTCTTTGATGCTTTGATGTGGTCCTGGGGCAGTGCCACGCCATCCATCTCGCTCATCGAAAGAAATCTAGAACTGAAATATGAATATGAAATAAAATAAATATAAGGATATAAGAATAAATAAGAAAAATGGATCGAGCCGAACCTACACGACAAGGCCTAGTGTGCTGCGCTGTTGATGAATGGAGTTGCGAAAAATGGGATGTACCCTCTGCGGGTCAGGCGGAAAGTACGTACAATTCGGGTAAATTCGGGGATTGGTGTAAAAAATCGGCATTTTTTTGGTTACTTGAAACATGAAACGCTAATTTTCAAGGCAATCGCCACGCTCGGCCCCCACGACGCTGACCGGACTTGTTCTTCTGGCCAGCACCACGACAAGACGAAAGAGGATCCAAGACGTTGAAAAGATAAGGGGTGGTGCGGGGCGAGGGTGCGTGAGATCAAGTTCCATCGTCGCCAGCATAATGTACATTGTGTTGGGGGGTGGGGGGATATGCGTTCTGTTCGGTCGGCCACACGACGTGTGGTAGTGACCGTGTGTCCAGTGCTGCTTGTATGCGGATCCGTGTAGAGCGAGAGAGCTCGCTCTGATTAGGCGATTAGCGAGGTGAACTTCTTCCTCTGCGTCTCGTACTTTTGCTTCACCTCCTCGATCTCCTTCTCCATCTTTGCATCCAGATCCTTCAGCATCTGCTTGAGCTCGTCCACCGAGTACTTGTCGTACTGCGCGTACACGTTCGAGAAATGTGTGAGCGAAGCCCGTAACAGTGTGTGTGCGTGTCGTGCGTGTCGTGCGTGTCGTGTGTGTGGCCATCATACCTCACCAGCGGGCTTTTTTTGCATGTAGGGTGGGACGAACTGCTTCTCCTTCTCGGCCTGTATCGTTTGGGAGCTGATGACGGTCGTGCCGGCATAGGCATCAGAGTCGCCATCGTCGCTGTCCTTGCGGGACGTGTTCTTGCCGCTTTCATCATCTTCCGACTCGCTATCGCTCTGTGTGTCGTGTTGTGTGTTGTGTTCGCTATGTCACTACAGAGAACTCTCACGTGAAGGAAAGTTGAGGATGAGCGCAGGTACCTCGTCGTCGAGACCGAGAGCAGCTTCTCTGCCACCAGCGGCGGCGATTCCTTCCATGGTCTCATCGACGAGATGGGCCAGCAGCGATGTGTTCTTGGCCTTTTGCAGGAAAGGATGCTGGGGCAAAGGAGGATTCGATATCAATCATCATGCTCCACCATGCAACACGACACGTGAGAAAACTGCAACTTTGAAACGAAGCACGATACCTTGAGCAGGTCGTCAGCGGTGGGTCGATCGGTGGCGTTTTTGGTGAGGCACTGTGCCACAAAATCGTTGAACTCGCGAGACCACTTCTCCGGCTCGGAGAGACGCGGCGGCGGCCGACTGGGGATCATGAAAATAGCCTAGTAGTAGATGTACCACAAGACAAAACGATAATAATAATAAAAACGTGAGCTTCAAGGAGACCAACAAAGGTGTGTGTGTGTGCTCGCGCGCGCAGAAGTGGTACCCGCATGGGATGAATGTTGGAGTACGGGGGATCGCCCTCGGCCATTTCGATGGAGGTAATACCCAGCGACCAGATGTCGGCCTTGTAGTCGTAGCCGATTTCCTGGATCACCTCGGGCGCCATCCTATGTGTTATAGAACACACACACGTTTGTCAAACCTTCCGAATTGTGCGCGCGTGTGGCGAGATGAAGAGTGATGTGTACCAGAAGGGAGTGCCGATGACAGTCTTCCTCTTGGCCATCGTGTCAGAGAGCTGGCCCGACACACCGAAATCAGCCAATTTGGCTTCGCCCTTCGTGTTGAGGAGAATATTGCCGGCCTTGATGTCACGATCTGCACTCACGGACAGGTTGCAAGTTGCAAGTGATACCATGAGTCACCGGCCAACAACCGCAACGACGCAGAGCGCAGAGGGGAGAACGCACGAATCTTCTTGACGGAGTGGAGATACTTGAGACCGAGGAGAACGTAGTGGGTAACCACAGCGATCTGCTCCTCGTTGAGGCTCTTGCCGAGGATGGTCATGATATCGCTGATAGAACCGCCGGCGCAGTACTCCATCACGATCTGGATTCAACGACTGTTAGTGCCACACGAAGCTGCGCAGTAGCCAGGGGAGGGGAGCGGGGCATCAGGTACCCAGAGGTCGTTGTCCTTGAAGTAGGAGCCAAAGTAGGAAACGATGTACTCGCTCTGGCATTGCTTCATGATGTTAATCTCGTTGATGAGATCCTCCTGGAATAGGAAGAAAAGGAGCACACAACCACATACGAATGAGTACATGGTGGCAGGCTATAACTGCCGGTGGGGGCGAGAATACGCACCAAATCATCGTCGATGCCGACCTTCTTGATGGCTAAGTTATTACATAGAAAGAGAGAGAGGTAAGCGCAAAGAACGAAGAGAGCGAACAGGAGAAGGGAGGACGAAAGGGTTCAAAGAAGAGAAGAGGCCAAGCGGTGCCCACCGATGATTTTGCCCGACCCGCGATGGAGCGCCTTCCACACCTGCACGTGGAAACCCCCAACGCAAGGCGTAAGACTCGTGCAAGAGAGAAAGAGAGCAATTGCCACTGGCCACTGTTCTGTGAGCGCGAGAGCGGAGGGGAGGGATAGAGCAGAACACGCACCGAACCATACGACCTGTTGGTCAGGGCCCAGGCGACAGATGTGGAGAGGGCGCGAGGTGAGCAAAGGGCCAAACCAAGGGGGAAAATAAATAAATAAAAACAAATCGAGGAACACCAACGGTCACCGTTGACCCATTTCAACACCAAGGGTAACCAAGGAAGAGATTGTGGCGGGGGGGGGCGTTGATGTTTCAGGGGGGATGCGTTCAGGCTGCATCAATTTGCTGGGGAACGGAAGAGCTGAATGTTGATTGACCGTTTCGAAGTCATTTGGAGGGGCGGGCTTGGAGAGGGTACCCTTCGCCCAGCTTCTCGAGCAGTTGAAACTCCTTCTCAGGATCCCTGCGACCAGACACCGTTCCCTTTTCTTTATCCACCGACAGTGTGTTGAAGTCCGACATCTTGATTCCAACCGTTCCAGTCTTTCGATTGATCTTGATTGGGTAACCGCGCAGTTCGTTACGAAAATGAAATAAAAATAAACAAAAAAAAGAAAAAGAAATGTAGTCTTGTGTGTTGAAGGTGTCTATTGAAGGACGAGGCAACGTTCAACGCCAGCCAGATCTCGCTTCACCGCGATGCACCGCCTCTTGGGATGAAAGAGCTCTGCGACCTGTTACGACGGAGACAAAGCATGTGAGTTGGGCGCCGGCGGTATAGAGAATGCGAAGAAGAGGCGCTAATGCCTGGGAGGCTTGTCCTGCTCCCACCTCGAGCAGAAGAAAGGCACCGGGCGCCATTAGACGGTCTAGTTTGTCCGAACTGGCGAAGTGCCTGCATGCCCACCCACACAGCCCAAACATACCACGAACACGTGCGAGCGTGAGTAGCGATAGAGCACAAGTTTGCCGAAAAGAGCAATGGCGTAGAACTGACTGACCTGTAGACCTGCAGCCCATCCTCACCGCCATCGAGCGCCCCGGCTGGCTCAAAACTGCAAGACGGGCGAGGTCAGCATTCGCCATTGTTGTCGCTTGCCGCTGAGGGTGATGGTGCACAAGTGCGTACTCCTTCACGTCGGGTTCGAGGCTGGCCAGGTCTGCGCGCGGTATGTAGGGCGGGTTGCTTGCCACCAAGTCGAAGCGCTCGCTTCCATCCACCTTGTCGAGCCAGTCGCTGAGCGAAATGACCCCACGTTGAAGTCAATTCCATGACGCGTGCCATTGCGGAAGCGAGTGTCAAGGAAGAGAAGAGGAGGTGCTGCGGGTCGTGTACCTTTCAATGAATGTGCATCTTTCGGTGAGTCTCATACGGTGAGCGTTGATGCGGGCCACCTGCAGAGCCTGCGGGCTTCGGTCTACGCCCACCCCGCGCGCCTCCTTGAACTCGGAGAGCAGGGACAGCAGAATGCACCCGGATCCTGTGCCCAGGTCAAGAATGCGTTGTGGCGGTCGGTCTGTCGTGTAGAGGGAGAGAGCCGCGTCTATCATCTGATCAGAGCCCCAAGAAGCCTCCGCGTAAGTATCTCCGTCCACCATGTGCGTACGCATCGGGGAGCGAAGCGTTCGCTGTACCGTTTCGGTGTCGGGCCGAGGGATGAGTGTGGCCGGCGAGACCGTGAAGTCAAACCCCCAGAACTGTCGCTGTCCGAGAATGTAGGCGGTGGGCTCACCACGCAGCCTTCGTGCCACGCAACTGAGAGAGCATGCGCAGTGTCAACAAATCAATCAACCAAGCACCTGCGTACAAAGTGTGAGGAGCGTGCCACGGGTACCTTCTGAACAGCGACTCGACAGTGTCCGGAGTGGTGGTGGAGAGCGCGTGAGAAAAGAACATCTCGCTCTCGAGTCGTGCTACGTTTCGGCCCTGGTGCTGGGATAAGTAGGTTGGGCACGAGCGACTAGCAGGGTGCGGAGAGAACTGCGAGGTACCTCAAGCGGCTCTGTGCCGCCTTCGCCGGTGTGCAGGTCGGTGCGCGCAGGCGATGAAGCTATCTGCTGGGTTCCCCACCGCACCAACTCCTCCCTCTTCGCTCTGGCTGGACCGTAAGTATGAATTAAGATAAGAGATATATAATCTGTCAAATTAAAATAAATTGCCGAGGCAGAACCTGTTGAGGTTGCCAGGGATCGAAGGCTGCAAGTGCGTGGCGACCGTGTTGCGAAGCTTGATCGTGCAGCTGACCCCCATCTGCTCAAGTTCATCTTGGCCTTTTTATTTTATTTTTATTTTATACAGTTTTTGTATTGCAGTCGACAACCTGGCACGTATTGGAGTGGAGCTGGTCTGAGCTTTTATCGATCGAAATATATGTACACGGTAATTACACCTGAAGCGGGAACTCGGGAATGATAGCGAGTTGGCCGGAGGTATCGACGGTCAGCTGATGGAACACGATGCCAGCGTCCGACTTGGCAGGGGACCGTGCCGATGATGAAGAGGAGGAGGGAGACATCTCCTCGTCGTTCCGCTTGAGCCTGGCCCGCTTGTTCTGGAACCATATCGTGATGCTGCGCTTGGTCATGCCCAGCCGAAGAGCCAGCTCGTTCTTGGCCTCGGCGTGCGGGAAGGGCTCGGCCGCAAAGACCTCCTCCAACACCTGGAGGTGCTCGGGCGGCACGCGATGACGTCGCTTGCCGCCAGCTGGCTGTGCCTTCTCCTTCTTGTCTTGAGGCGATTCGGCGCATGGTCGCGGCGCGTCTGAACCGACGTGGCGCCGAAGGAGCTCATCGATGAGGGCCATCAGGGTCTCGGCGGACAGCGACGACGGCTGGCCTACCGCCGCAGACGTGAACGTGGGCACGGGCGGGATCATCGTCGCCGTGGTCGCGGTCGTGGCCCGCACCGGCGCCAGGACGTGGGGTCGCTGGTGCTGCTGTTGCTTCTTGTGCTTCTTCTGCTGGAGGTAGAGCATCTTCTGCACCTGGCGCTGGCGGTGCCATTGCTTGAGCAACTGTTGGGTGTGCTGTTGGACATCGATGTTGTCGCCATGGAGGTTGTTGCCGACCGGAGGGTTGGGCGCGGAGTTACGGTCGCCCAAGGCGTAGCCACGACTTGGGCTCTCGCCGGAATAAGTTCGAGAAGAGGTCGATGCCGCCCCTGCATGGAGGGGCGACGATGGCGAAGAGCTCAGGAGCGCAGGCGAAGAAGGCGGGGAAGAGGCGGAGGAAAGGCCCGGCGGCGTCGACGGTCCCAGGTAGACTGGCGCGGTCTGCGGATAAAGCGGCGATGGTCGTTGCGGCGGTTGATGCTGCTGCTGTTGCTGAGGATGCTGGTGGCTGGCCTGATGAAGAAGGTAGGCCTGGGCGGTTTGTGCGAGGAGGAGCTGTTGGTGGATCGCGGAGAGGAGCTGAGGATTGGCCACCACAAAGTAGGGCGTCGGCGGAAAGAGGGCGGAGGCTTGATACGTCGCCGGATGATGAGCTGCGGGTGCGGGGAGCGGCGTGGGCGTAGGCGCGAGGGAAGTGGGAAGGGCCACGGGCGGATGAATAATCGAGCGGGCGGAAGAAGCCGAGGCAGCTGCGCCAGACCAGTTGCTCTGTGGTCGGGCTCGTGCTCGCTTGGCTGGTCGAGGCGGCTGCGGGTGCTCGACATCCGGCTCGACCTTGACGCGGGATTCGCCGAGGGCGTCGGTGTGGCGGCGCTTCCGCTTGGAGCTTGAACTGTCTTCGTCCGCAGGTGGATCATCGACGAGGAAGGAGATGGAGAGCTTGGAAGTGGGTGTGGACAGCCTGGGAGTCTTCTCTGCTCCAGGTGCTGGTGGATTTGAAGACCCGAGGTGGCGCAGCAGTTGGGCCATTGTATCGTCTTGCATGGCCGGGTGTGTGTTGAAATAATGCCGTTCGGGTGGCCGAGTGCAGAAGAGGGAACTTTGCCTTTGCTGCGCCTCGTCGTTCGTTTTAGTCGGGTGTCATCGCTGAGCCTGTCTCCGATTTGCGGCGAGGCTAAAAACTGATGGCACAATCCCATTGGCGCAACTTGTTAAGAGATCGTGCGCTATTGGTGTTCGGGGCGGAAAAATAGGAAACACCGATCGGAGCCCGACGGCTTCCGTCCCTTTCCGCCACTCCGGAGTTAGCAACCTGGTTGTGGGGTGATGGCCTGGCACTTTTCAAGCGGTGATGGTAACCGGCAGAGGAAAAGGCCCGCTTCGCCACTAGTGCTGCGTGCGACTGTGTGACTGCGTGTGCTGTTGTTGCCGCAGTGCCAGAAGCCAGGCGTCGAGCCAGACGGCGTCCGCCTTGTCGGGCAGAGCCGTCCACGGCTTGCGCGCATCGAGACGCTGGGCGGCGTCTTTGGCCGCGGCCAAGGCCTCCGGGAGCGGCACGTCCCCGCGTCGCACGGCCATCAGCGCCTCACGCTCCTCGCCCTCCCACCACAGCCGCAGCGATCGGCCACCCAGCACGCCATGCGCCACCTGTAGCAGACGGAGCGCATTGTAGACCTGCACTCATGGTAGGGAAGACATACAATCCATCCCTTACTTCCTTCCTTCTCATGTTACATCAAGACCACTATTAGAGAACTGATGAGGCGTGCCTTCTTGCCGTTGGCCTCGGGCTTGGTTTCTGCCTGCTTGATCTGGCCCTGCGCGAAGGCGAGGCACTGCTTCACGAACTGCCGCGAGAGGAACTGGTCGCGGTGCTGTCGCAGAGAGGCCCACGTTCCCAGCGGCGCCTCTTCGGTGCTGGAGGAACCCTCGCCACCAACTGCCCACCAACTGCCTTGCTTCTCTGGCTCTGCCCACATCAGCTGTTCAATGCAACGTCACATAACCCCTGGCCGTCAGCACAAACAGGAAGAGCATATAAGAAAGAGGGGAGAGCACAGACCTCAACAGCAGCAGGGTTGCCGGTGAGTAGGAGGTTGGCAAAGGTGGCCACCTCGTTGACCTGCACGTCCACAACGGCTTCGCCTTTGGCGCCCCCACCGCTGGCGAGGTTGGCGGGCGGCCTGGCAAGACCCCAGAAGGCGGAGGGGGGCGCAGCGTAGATGCCGGCAAAGTCCACGTCGCTGCCGCCGTCCTCGCGCTGGAGGTTGTAGCTCCGACTGCCCACCTGCGTCGCAAACACCACCCCACTGCCTGCTGGTGCTCTCTCTTGCACCAACGCAGCCACCCTCTCCTGCGCCACCTCTTCTCGTGCAGTCTCCATAGCAAAGTCCGTTTTGATTTAAAATGTCAATTCTTTTTAGAGTTTTGGCGCGAAAGAAGGAGGTACGGCGTAGAAAGTGCAGTTCTTGAGGAACGTGCGTGTAGAGTACATAGATGAAGATGGGTGGAACACTTGTGCAGTTGAGGTGCGACGGAAGGTGTTCGCGGATCTGGGCACGCGGTCGCGGCGGGGGTGGCGGTTGGCGCAGGGGAATGGATCGACGAGTGTCCGGTTGGTGGGTGTTGCGGATCGATCGATCGATCGGCCGTCGAATCGAATGTCATCAAGGCCTCCTTGTGGGGGGCGTATTGGAAGGGCTGCTGCATACGGGAGCATCTCTCTCTATCCATGTCGACGATGAAACCGAAGTCGAATCCAATTCTCCTGGTGGTGAGCGCCTACGCTCACTTCTTCGCGGCCTCCGTGGTGCTGATGCCCGCCGTCGGGCTGCTGCACCAGTGCTTGGTGAACTGGCAGCGAAGGCGAGAGCACTTGAGCGACACGTTGACGACGGCCGTCGCCTCGTCGGTGGCGATCTTGTCGGTGCGCAGGCTGGACTTGCACACCGGGCAGCGGCCGATGAGGGTCAGCAGCTCCACGAGGGCCGGCACGTCGACGATGGCGTGGCGGTAGCATTCCCTCTCGTCCTCGGTTTCCTTGGCCAGCTCCTTGGGCACCGGCGCCACCTCCTCCTTCTTCACAGCAACCTCGATCGTCTTCTTCTTCTTCTTCTTCGAATCGATCTTGGCCTGCTGTGTCACAGGCTTGCTCTTGGTGGCTCCTGGTGTGCACTCCTCCTCGTCAGAGAGAAGATCCTCCTTCTTGGAGTGGATGCCATCGAGTTGAGGCTCGTTGATCGCGGCGGCCTCCTCTACGTCGACGGTCGAGGTGCTGCTGGCCTGCACCTCCTCGGCTGATTCGTACTTCTTCATCTTCTTGGCCACATCCACACCCGAGCTGCTCGTTCGCAGAAGAGACGAAGATGAGGAAGATGAGCGATTGAGGGTGTTGGAAATCTGGAGAGTTTTCATCTTCGGGGGAAGAGACGCCGCGTGGTTGTGTGCGGGAGAAGGTGTGAAAGAGGAACTGTACGGGTTGGTGCCCGTCGTGGCTGTTGTTGACGGTAGGCGGAGCGAAGAAGAACTGGTGGCCAGCTGCGCGTAGCTGCGCTTGAGCATAATATCCCCTCACGGAAGAATAAAGGCCGAAAAGACGACGTAGGTGGGGACGTGGGCACCTTGTGAGGTGAAGATGATTCTGCGCCTTTTCTTGAAACCTTTTATGGGCTTTGTAAAAAAATTGAGAAGAATTTTTTTCGATTTTTCGGCGTTTCAACAAAAGCGTCAAGAAATGATTTGTAGATCATTTCCTTGTAGTTTCTCTATTGGCCTCCACACAAGTTGGCGCCCATCGCGCATCTACTCGGCTGGAGGGACAGCTCAAGGCCGTAGTTCGAATGCTCTGCCAAACCGGTGCCGACGGCAAGACTTCAAGATTGAATCTTCTAAATGGAGGAGGCTGTTCGAAAATCGCGCTCATGTGCATTCACTGGCTTTTGATTCTGCTCCTCATTGGGCCTCTCTTTACACATGCACTGCCCATGACGCGCTCCAAGCGCATCGCGCTTCGGTACGCCCTCGGTTCGCTTTAGTACCGCGCACTGTTGTGATAGTGCCAACGCGAACCAAGCCTTCAACTCACAGTGCTCGCCGACAGGGAGGAAGCGCGTCTTATGTTCTATCACGCCTACGAAGGCTACCTCGAGCACGCCTTCCCAGCCGACGAGCTCATGCCCCAGTCGTGCAAGGGACGCTGGCGCTTTCCCAACGGCCACGTCGAGCATCGAGGCACTCTCGACGACGGCTTCGGCAAGTGCGTGTCCTCCTCCTTCACAGTCGCACAGTGCTCGT